GGATTACCCTTTCCATTGAATTGCGTGAATTTGGGTGGCTGATAATCTCTTGGCATCCTCAAGGCGTCAATCCTTTTAGAGTATGGCTTTGAGTACATCACTGAATCATGCGAGCTTCCTTCATATTGCACCTTGATCATGCTTATGATCATCTCTTGCAGCTGTTGGATAGAAAAAGATCCCATGAGTGTCGCAACTCAGTCCACCTTTAGCTTTTCCTCAGCTTTGTCCATTAGAGGCACCTCATTTTCGTCAGTTTCCTCCTTTGGTGGATCAACCTTCGGGTCAGCTTTCTCGTTGTGTTGCACCTTTAGACGGCTGACAAATGTAGCAATCTACAAGTCCTTTTCCTCCATGGTCCTTGTTAGCCTTGCAATTGCTTTGCTCATTTGTGCCAGCTGCTCTTCGATTGAAGTTGTACTAGTAGTCATGACTTGCATGGATATGGGATACAAACTGCTGCTTGAGTCGGCATCTGATAGGGTTAAAAGCACACCACAAAATAGCACACAAATGTCCTATTTATTTTCTTGATAAACACTAAGATTTGTTAATTGTAGCATATGAAAATAAGGGTCTTTCCCACAGAAGATTGTTTTAACCAACTACTTAAAGTGTCACAAAAATTGGGTTACTGTCCCTACTAACCAGCCACCAAAAAAATAATTATTAGACTGACTTATACTTATTTAAAATCTACGAAATTTTATATGCAGACACTAGACACACAGAGCTACACTGATACAAATTTTTGAGATTTTTTGGAGTTGATTTTCTATTTAAATTAAATCGAACAAAAACAGAACAGAAACAGATTTTAAGTAGTTCACAAATCAAGAAAAATGAGTTAGGGGAATTGCTATCCACCACCAAATAATCATACAAACATGTTATGTTTCATTCAAATTCCTTTTATTTCAGGATGAAGATGCTCAAGTTGGCATAATGTTAGAACTCAACCTATTACTCTTTCTTATGTAGTATGTTAAGAGAATGGCGTTTTTAACTTAACGTTGTCCTTAGCATGCAATCTAGAATGATGTGTTCATAGATTTAACAAGTAGAAATCATTAAGAACGAAAAGAGTTTGAATCATCATAAGGCATCGTAAGTACTAGCATTATCTTACTTATCCTAGAAATTGATTTACATGTTAATCGCAATTAACAAGTACTACTCTAGAACATATGTAGGTCCTCATTCGACAAGGGCAAGCACACACATATTCATAGCATTAGAATCCTAGATATGCTTACTAAGTATGCATCTGTAGAAAACACATAAAGAATTCATCAATGAGACAAATAGTGAACCAATTTTCATCCATTCATAAAAGTAATTCAAACGAAATGTCATAACAAACTTGCAATCATATTCGGGCTTCAAAACAGCCCCTAACTACTAAAAATTAGTTACACATAATCCTTAAATAAAACCAAAAGAAAGACATGAGTTTGAGAAGATAAAACCGAAAGAAGAGAATGCCAAGATTTCCTCATTCCTCTCCTTCCTTCCCCAACACTGCTGCCCTGTTTTTTTTTCCTTTCTTTCCGCTGCAACCTGCATCCTTCTTTTTTTCTTTCTTTTCTATTTTTTTCTCCCCTTTGCCGCTACAACCTGCAACCTTTTTGTTCTTGCTTGCTGCCCCATTTTCTTTTCCATAACTCACCCCACTAACAGCCATTTAGTGATGACAATAAGTGAGAGGAAATGGTAAAACAATTGTAACTCTTTAGGTGGCCTTTATGCCCATTACTCCCCTTTAATTTTCCATTTCCTCTGATATTTGAATAGGTGTCAGCTGGCTTGTTCTTGGCTGCATTAGTTTTGGCTGCTAGATTTATTGGATTTATTGCTTTCAATGCTTTCTTGTCAGTTACAAACTGCCCAGCCTCTTGGGAACCTTTCAGTGTTAAAACGACCATAACTTCTTCTAGAAACATGATAATAGCAATCCGTGAAATGCTCCATAAAATAGACATCCGTAACTTTCCAAACATCAAGGCTCATTCTCTAATTCATTTTGAGTTGTCCGTAACTTGCTTCCAAAGTGAGTTGATCTGCACAGGCAGTTTTAACGAATTTGTTACTTAAAATTCCACTTGTGCTATTTTTCTTTTCTTTGCTTGACAAATCCCACAAAACAAAAAAACAAAGTAAATAGCTCAAAAATATAAGGAACTAACTAAGAAAAGACAAGTGAATTAGATGTAAAATATATATAAACATTAGCTTATCAGCATCGGAAGTCAACGACTCGAAGTACCTTCTCGGGCTTTCTTCCCTTAGAGCCTTTAGGGAGGCCAGGGTGATCACGGGCTCGTGCCTCGAGTGCTCTTACTCCTTCGGCAAAGTTGATGTAGGGGTGGAAGGCACAACAAAAAGAGATCTTGCCTTGCTTCTAGTTGTGACGCCCAAAGTGCCACCATTTGCGGCAATGATGTTGTTGTTCTTCGCGTTGGTTGCGGGAAAAGCTTGATCCTTTCTTGATGCCATGTATGTTTCTTGTGGATTTGAAGACAGAGATGAGAGGCAGAGAGGTCGCATTGGGCGTGCCAAATTTGTAAACACAAAAATTCTGTAACGAATAAAACAAGAACACGTGTACAAAGTATATTTGTATTGATGAATTTGTAGGGTTACAACCTCTGTTTATAATTTTCCTTTGATTCAATCTTCAAATTTGATGTAGATGTGTAGGTTGTTGATCCAAGGGTCGCGATGACTTGATCTCAAATGAACGATTGAACAAATTGCTTCACGTTTTGAGCTTGAAACAATGCGTGGATAGTCTTCACCTCTAGGTTTGCATATGACCTGTGGCAAAGGTGATGTTGATGTGGGATTTTGTTGATTCAAGGGACTTGATGACTTGATCTTAAATCAAACGTCATTACAAGTTTTGAGTTTGCAACAAAGTCTTGAAGGAATCGGCACGAGTACTTGTAGATTCTCCAAGGGAATGCTTCGGCTTTGGTTATGCATTCTTTGAAGAGAGCTTTGGTAGCGTATTAGTCTTCAAATATTTGACACAAGGTTATCCTTTTGTGAGAATTTCGGCCCTTCAATGTAGAAATTATCGACCTTATGCTTGTCTTGGGAACTTGTATTTATAGACTTCTAAAGCCATGCTTTTGGGTGAATTTGACTTCGACTTGTGTCTTGATTCGTCCATGGGAGAATTTAGGCATGTTCTGTGTCTTGTTTCAACCACTTTCCCTTATCTTGGCCAAATTATTTAGGGCTTGTTGCTTATGTTGTGCGCAATCTTCAATTCTTACTTGTTTTTGTGAAGATATTTAGCTTTCTTTTCGGTTTTGAGAGATTTTGGACCCCTTGCCGACTTTGAAGGAGATTTCCTCCCCTTTACCTAGTTTTGGGAAGGTTTTGTACTTCCTTTGCTTGATTTGTGCCATATGTCATTGATGACTTGTTCATTTGTGATGAGTCATATGCCATGTGGAATTTTGTGACACATCATTTGCATGCAACGAAATTTACATGTCTACAGTGGAAGCTCTCTGATTTTTCTTGCCCCAGTGGCTTTGCCTCGTAACTTTAATTTTCATCTTAAAATAACATGAAAACAAAAGAAAAGAAAGAGGATGCTTAGTAGGTTGTGTTATATTTAATTCTTTTTTAATAGCGGGATTGAATAGTAAAGTACTAACTTTTACACTCAAAGTTTGATTATTACATCCACCTGAAGTACAAAAATTGGACGATAAACTTCTTGTACTAAGATCTTCACATGGAAATAAATCATAAACCATATATTGCCATCCAAATTTCACAAATATATCGATCTCCCCAAACAAGCGCAGCAACATGCATGGAGTTGAAAAGCACATGACCAATTTGGTCGATCAGTCAAAGTCATTAGTCGTGAGAGCTACTTGGCAAAGGTTGAGTGGGGTTTGTTCTTCAATCTTCATTTTTATTTCAATTTGCGTGCATTAAAATAGCAAAGATTGTAGTGGTCATGTGATTTGGTTTCCGTTGATTAATCAAAGTACTAAACTAAACACATGATGTAGTGGATCTCCAAGGACCAAGTTGATCAGGTGTAGGGAAGATAACGGTTCGGTTTAAGTATAGAAATGTTATATTCATCATCATAATCATGAAAATTAATAATATTTATAATCGCAAATTAACCATTGGGTATTAACCATAATCATACCCACTGTGTAACAGATTACCTATCGATTAACGGTTATATGCATCTTCGTCAATATAAAAATCAGTTGACGCATGATAATTTAGTAAATATTAATATTGTCACTAAATATTTGATGTATAAGATGATTTAATGAATGGATCTTGTGGAGCATAAAAATTACAGCTAAACATTGATAATGTTGGCTGATCTTTGATATATCCTATAAGTACCATTGAATTCTCATAGATTTTGATTCATATCAAAACTTTTGAACTTTTCTACAAAGTGCAACTCACACAATGCAATTTTTGTATTCTCAAGGTAATAGATTCGGTGAATAATGAATACATACATATTATTTAATACTTTAATATTATATATAATTATATTATATATTGTTCAGTTCGGATTTGGGAACGGATACGGATTGGGGACCCGTGTAACCATATTCAAAATCATAATCGAATAATATTCACGGTTTTTCCCCATACCCAAAATATATCCGAGTTTTCATATCCAAATCCAATATATTTGAACGATTATCTACAGTTATCAAGTTTAACGGTTAGAATTGTTATTCCTAATAAGATGAGACCATAAGTACCTAGCTTCTATTAATTTATTCAACTTAAATAAAGCAGAGATTATCTGAAAAAAAGAAAAAGAAAAAAAAAAGACTTTATATAAATTTTTTGTCAGTTTTTTATTTTTGGCATAATGTTTAATACAGATGGAACTTGGAACGTGCGCGTAGCATTCAGTGGGGTTCCAATACGGCAATACCCAAAGGCCATTACTTCCCCTTCGCCCCAAAACCTCCTACTCTTCCCACTCCCCCAACTTCCCTTCTCCCTCCCTCCCTACCCCACTCTGCTTTCCCACAAAGAAGGAACCCCAAAAGCACTGAAAAAACAGCCAAAAAAACCAGAGAGAAAAATGTCCAACAAGTCACCAATCTTTCCGATGCCACAACCCCAACACTTCAGCGACTACGGCTTCGACCCCCAAGTCGACTACTTTCAGGTCCCATTTCTTTCTTCTCTCCTCTCTCTCTCTCTCTCACTGTGCAACCAATTTTATTTTTTGATCTGACCCATTTCTTTTCATGTAAAAAAAATGAAGGTTTTGGAGGAAGCAAGGAGGCACAAGCGGGAGACGACGAGATCCATAGACTCCAAACACTTCAAGCTCCAAAAGCGCTTCTCAAAAGACGACTCCAGAAAGCCCCACCACAACAAAACCAAGAAGAAGCGCTGGTGGAAAAGCGCTCTGCTTTTCTTCAAATGGAACAAGCTGACACCTCACCACCACCACCACCACCACGTCTCCGCCATCCGCGGCGGCGATGAAGATGTTCACCAGGCCAGGGCCAAAGCCTTCCGGGGATCGATTTCTGAGCCGATTTATATCACTGAGAGCAGAAGCGGGTTGTGCACTCCTTGCCTGAGTAATAGCTGGCCGTCGTCTAGGCCGCTTGCCGGGACTATGTTTCCGGCGAGTAAGGATGAGATGGGCATTCCTTACCTGAACCTGAGGGAGCTTAACATGGAGCAGCAGCGACAGAGGAACTCCATCTCTGCCGTGCCTATATATTTGGTTACTTAATTAGTATTTCAGGTGTTTACATTCGTTTTTGAACATTAGTTCTTGCAAAAGATTAAAAGTTTTTAAAAAAATTGGTAATGGATTACATATTCAATTTAATCATTTGAAGTGTACTTTTATAAAAATTTATATTCATTTTTTGTTATTTAATGTGTATTTTTATTTAATTTCTCCACATTAAATTTTAATTATATTAATATGCACATATTTAGTTCTTTAATTTAATTACATTGTTAGTCTTTTGGAGAGCCTATATATTTTACTAATTGCTTTTCTTTGGATTGATTAAGCGGGATGCTCAATGGGGTTGGATTTGTTTGTCCGTTTTTAGTTTTTGCAAACTGCAAAGGCGTTTGATCCTTTGGAGATCATGAATTTTATGCCACTCAATGACTTAATGGGACAAAACTTGTAAGGGTAATACGCAAAAATGATGATGGATATTTTTTTGACCAGGGCAATAAGATGTACAAGCTCAATGGCTTAATGTGACCAAAACATGATATGCCAACTGCCAAGCAGAAGGAGCAGATGATGAAAGGGGATATAAGGGAATGATGAGTCGGTTTCATGGAGCTACCCATTTGTGTTTGGTTTTACACATTGTGGAAGATTCGAAGGCCCTGCTGTTGGCTGCTCATCATCTCGCACGTTATGCTCTCTCTTGTCAATGCGAGTGATTTTGGTCGAGGAATCTCCCGATATTCTTCTTGATGTTTTGTTGTCTGATTGTAGCTGTTAAAGTTGGTGGTTTTTGTTGGAAACCTGTGTTATGTGGGACTGCCAGTCCCACATTGCCCATACACCTTTTACAACAACTTTTTATAAGTGAGTTCACTCACTTATAGTTTGAATTGAATTGGGGCAAAGCCATAGACCTTGGGCCTTAGAGTAGGAGGGTTTGGGTGTATATATTAAATGTCAAAGATGGGCCTTGGGGCTCGGATGGACGAAAAGCACAAGTTACGTTTTTGATTTTTTGGATTCAGTTTTTTCCAAAAGGATAAAACTGATTGAACAGTTACGTTCAGTTTTTAAATTGATTGAACAGTTGCTTTCGGTTTTCTTTTTTAAAAAACTGATAAGCCAAAACGGTTGGAGAAGTTCAAATTATGCCATTATATATATGGCAATAAAATCAGAAACAAGTATCAATTTTTTCCAGATTCATTCCTCCATATTTCACTGAGAACCACAACCAATTCGCCAAGAATCCAAGTTCGAGTGCAAGAACTTGGATTAGATAGTTGTATCCTGCAAGATAGACGTCCAAGGACTGCTGCACTGGTGTAGAGACGAATTTATGTCTTAGGAGATTGCTTCTGCAAGCCTCTATCTGCAAGAAACAAGTCAGTGATTTGTGACTTTATATATAATCTCATTAAGTGTTTATGTTCTAATATATTGTGTTTGTCGTTGAGTTTTTACATTTGAAATAAAACTGTGCAAATTGTTATATAATATACACTTGACGTTTGATTGGTTCTAACAGTTTTCTTTCCCAGCCCGCTTTGTACTGTGCTACTGTTTTCCTCTTCCTAATCGATAAATATGCTGTTGCCTTGAATAAAAATTTGAAAAGCACAAAGCGAAGAGAAAGAAACAAAACGCAACGCTCCAAAATAAGGAGCGGCGGGCAACAAACAAACAACCACATCTCACGATCCACTTGTCATTTGGTCCGCTCTCCTCTCTGCAATCTTCTCTACAACCTAACCTGCTCACCACGTCATTTCGCTATCCGTATTACCGTTTTATTTTGTATTAAGGGAAAAGCAAAGAAGACTTTTTTAAAGTAAAATTTTACATAGATTATTTTGTTATATTACAGTTTAACATTAATTTCTGTAGATATTATAAAATATTGTATAAAAACTTCTCACATCTTCATATCACTATCACGTCCACACTGCGCACATGGCTACGTCACTATCACGTGACGACCAGCATGCCTCGATTTATGTCGGGGTGTGTCATAGTACGTTAAGAGAAAATAGGATTAAGAATAATATAAATCTACCAATACACAATGTGTAAAAAATAAAACGTACCAAAATAAAAATAATGTACCAATATTAACAATATGTATCAAATCAAACATACCAAAATAAAAATAATGTACCAATATTAACAATATATATCAAATAAAAAAAAACCAAAATTGCAAATAAACGTACCAATTAATGATTTTTGTAAATTCAAACATACCCGCAGATAATATATACCTAATGTATTGTACCTAACAATAATTAGTCAACAACTATACTTAAAACAACAGCCAAAAAAACTATAATTTCACAAAAAAAATTGAAAAAAAATACACGGAGCTTTTATGTTGATCACCAACTATTTGAAAAAGAAAAAACCATTTGGAAAAGAAATAATATTAAATGTTTGCATAACCAAAAAAAATAAAAAATTATGATCGAAAAAACATTTTTGGAAGAAGAAAAAATATAGTTTAATTACTAATATCTCTACTAAATAATGAAAAGTGCATCATGCGGATAAAATTATAAATTAAAAAATTATTTTAATTTTAAAAAATAGAGGTGACTATCAGTCAAAACACTTTAATCAAATTTAAAAAAACACAGATGTTTAATCAAATGATATAGAAAAACTGTAGAGCATTCTAATTTAACTAAAATCTTGTGAATTATTTTCAAACTGATGGTGCAAAATGTATTTGATTCTAAAAACATGCATCGGACATAATGAATATGAAAATGACTAATAAACAGATTAATATAAGAGTTTTCTACATATAAATCCTTAGTAACAACACACTTGAAAAACAGTTCAAACTCACTGATCGTTGGAAGATACATATACACTTATTTTACTTTTTTTGATATACTCGGTGCCACAAAAGCAGCTTGTGGCCCATTCAAAAAACTTCGTGCTTATAATTGGAATTATTAATATATAAATCATTATGTAAACATCATTGCTACGAAAAGTTAATAAAATATGAGATTATTTAGATATCTAATTGTACAAAACAAATTGTCTAATTCGGCAAAAATATTACAAACCATTTATTTGTTTGCTATAGTCTAATTAACTAAATGATCCTAACTTTAATTAATTTTTTTTCACAAAATATTTTGTAACATGAACAATGCAGATTATAATAAACGCTATTAGTAATGGATCGGCCGGATCGCTGTCAAGCCCTATGATCATATTCTTCATTTAACTTACACGGGTTTGCAAGTTTGGACCGAGCCCATGGCCTCTCCCTCTCTCCTGCCAAACCCTAGCCTTTTTTATTTTTTTGTCATAATATAAATTTTGTTAGATGATATGTGAGATTAACTATCGACGAGATTCAAACGCACGAAGATACTCAACTCTTTTCCGGTACTGTGCTAAAAGGCCACGTCTAAACCCGAGCCTACGGTTGCTTAGTTCTCCGTCAGCTTCTTGGTTCCCGGAATCGGAATCCTGTCTTCCACTCGTTCTAAAGGTAAACTGCACACCCCTTGTTCGACTTATGTCTCAACGAAATATTTTGCTTATTGTTATATATAAGATTATCACAAGTAATTTACGTATCAGTCATCTCCTCTCCAGCAGCAGAAATTTACGTATAAGTTTATGAAATGCAGTCTGTGTATTTGGTGTCTTTTGTCTGTGTATGTCCTTAAAAATATGATGTTTAAGTTGGATTGCATTACTGATCAAGTTTCTGGGAATTTTGTGTTTTCAGGATAGGAGCCTGGATTGGCCAAGATGGGTGTGAAACAAGATGAGGGCAATAATGTGCCTCCAACCAAGAAATCCGTACGCTTTAATTTCTGTGTATAACATATGATAACTTTTCTAGCAGTCTCTTGACATCTTCTTGAGGTCTTTTATGATCATTCAGGCAATCTGAGTTGTAATATTGCCTTTTGTGTGCATGTCTCCAACATCTAACTCGTCAGACTGAGAGTTTTAAGTTTAACACTAGGGCTCTTATGCATTGCTTTCTGTTACAAAAATAAATGGGAAGTATCTTAAATTGCAGGACAATATAACTGATGAACTCGAGATAAAAATGAACAAGTTTCTTAGAGGCAAAGCTAATTTGGAGGTATGGCATTGAGAATTAGAGTTTTCATGCGAACTTGTTTAGTTTTCACTGCATCATTGCTTTCCCAACGTCTTCAGGCCTTGCAAGATAAAAAGTTGAAGGGTCAACTTACTGTTCGAGAAGAATTATATGGGAAATCTGCACAAGCTGCTGCCAAAACCGAGAAGGTGAATTTTTGTTTAGTGTGATATCCAGTTTGGGTTGCACAATGACAACCCCCGATATAAGTTTTTGTGTCTTCATTGACCATTGCTTGACCTGAACATGCTACCAAAAACATCGTCCTGTTTTTTTATTAATTTTTTTTGTACATGTGATGAAGTATGTGATTTTTGTTGTTGTTTTCATTTGTGATCAAATTATCAGTGGCTTCTACCAAGTGAGGGAGGCTATTTGGAGGCTGAAGGCACGGAGAAGACATGGAGGATCAAACAAGAATCAATTGCTCGTGAAGTAGATATATCAAGCTCAAGGAATCAATTTGATATTATCTTACCAGGTTGACACCTAACACTACCTTTATTTATTGTAAAGTCACTCAGAAACTTAAAAGTGACGCTTTACTGTTTTGCTTATTGTAGTTAAAAGGACGTTGTATATACCGGGTTTTGCTGCCTTCTGATATCAGTTATGCAAATGCCGGTTTAGCTGGCCTAACCAAACTTAATTGTGTGAAATAAAAAATAAAACTGTATATTAGCTATAAAGCAGTAAGAATCCTTTGTGAGGTCGAAATATCGGTTCATGCTGTTCAGTTGCTGAGAGATGAAGGATAAATCATTATCACATATGTTACTTATGGTACACATGTTTTAATTAATGGGGAATTTGTAACATCACTTGGCTGCATGCCACTTGTTATAATGTGTCCTCAAATATGTAGTAATTTAATGCATTGCGTCACGCTGTATAGGTGCTACCGTCTTTTGTTATTGCAATCTCTGTCTATTGATTGTAATGATGTTTCATATAAGTTCATTGTAAATAAAATTTTTTAGCAATGCACCTCCTGAAATACTATCAACATTTAGTGTAAGCAGAATCCTTTTCCCGAATAGTGTAAGCAGAGTTCAGACATATTGACACCGAAGCTCTTAAGTATTCAATATTCATTGAAGTGTCTAGATTAACTTTCCTGGCCTGCCTAATCTTGCTCTAATGTTTATCCCTGAATCTTAACTATTATCTGCAGATCTCGGACCGTACACGCTGGATTTCACCTCAAGTGGTCGCCATATGGCAGTTGGTGGACGCAAGGGCCATCTGGCTATTGTAGACATGAAGACTATGGGGCTGATTAAAGAATTTCAGGTATTTCATGCAGTATGAGTGCACATAAAGTAGCCAAGCTGTTGTTTTCAGTCTGATGCTGTGACCTTGTTTTAGCCAAAATTGTTTGTCCCTTGCGACATTGATTTGGACGTGCTGCTCGCAGACACGTTCACATGTCCTAGTCTTCATGTGTCAAGTTTGAATATACTCGTAATGAGTTAGTGCCTTTGATACGATGCCAGCTTTATAACTAAATGTATGAGTCTTAATTGTATGCTGAAAAGAATTTACTGAGTTATATGGAAGAGATAATTGAAAGGAATCATGCAAGCACAGTTTTATCTTTCAATTGCTACGCTGTGTTCTATCCTTTTGCCATTTCTAGTGCAAGAATTTAACTAAGAAAATCTCGAAGTTTACATGCGAATGTAAGTTTCCACTGTTCAGGGTAGTCCTTTTAGATGGATTAATGTTACTGCAGTCAATTTTGTAAAACGGTGTCCTGGATATACATTTTGGGCCGTTGGTGTGAAGCATTCTTTCTATGTTCCTTAAAGCGAAATTGGGACTTATATACTACCCGCAAAAGTAGTTTAAATCAACCATCCAGACTATGCTCTGTATGACAATGTGGCACCTCCATCTGATTCCATATACATCTCAGTTAAATTATGTCAAAAGGCAAACATGTGGCCACTTTTTCAAGGGATGTCTTTGTGGCTCAAGATTTATAGAGTAAGCATTTGATATTTATTTTTCCTTTTCTCTTTTCTCTCAAACATCATTGGCTCACTAAAATATCTGATGTGATGATAACATCCTTGAAAATGGGCCCACATGTTTTGAACAAAACCTGATTTGATATAAATTATGAACTGTGGAGGGTGGCCACACAGTTGTGACTGGATTTTGAGACCACGTTTTGAAGTGCTAGTTATGAATTTTTTTTGGGGTGGTAAATGTGCACAGCCTAAAAGTTCAGGTTGTATCAGTTCAATTTTGTTTTCTTTTTTCTAATGAGATGGTGGAATGCTGGGTACTTCTTTTTCATACTTCAGGGTTTTGACTGGAACCTTGGGCTGATTAACTGACTGTTGATGTTCAGGTTAGAGAAACAGTGCGGGATGTGGTGTTCTTGCACAATGATTTATTCTTTGCTGCAGCACAGAAAAGGTATAAAACCTTTTGCAGTGCTTGTGTAAGTGCTGTCTGCTTGGCAATATTTTGATAGTTACAGGGCAGATTATGCAATTTTATTTTGTGTTGAAACGTTCTGTTGCATGCCTCTGATATTGCTCAGCATTAATAGCTCCGTTGCGTCCAGTGGACTTAAAGTTTGTTGCTTTTTATTAATTATTTTACTTTTATTTGATATGCGACCAGCACTTGTTAAGTGTTTACAAGAACCAGCTGGATAAGCCAAAACTCTTTGCATTTGCAAGATAATGACAGTTTTGTGTTATAAGGATGGACCAAAATAGATGGATTTGTTAGCATTATTTATGGGTGGATATGGAAATAATGTTGGATCGAGTTAGTTTTCGGTTCGTATTTGTCATCAGTTACTATAGAGCTCAGGCTGTCTTCTTTATCTGCATTATTACTGGACTGCTATTTGCAAAGCAGCAGTTGATGTTTCATGGTTTCAAATTTGTTGTCTTGTTTCTTTAGTAATTATTGTGTAATGTAAAATGTCTAGAGAGTTCATTTTTACGACACTTGTAAACTGCAAGGGGCTCATTGTCTGTAGTTTGTGCGGTTGTTCTCTCTCTTAATAAAATCTAAGTTCTTAAAGAAAATAGGTAGCTTATAAGCAATAATCTCGTCTTGGATTCTATGCCACTTTATCTTCTGTTTAACTTAAATTCCTGTGTTTGATGATACTGTGTTACGACTTCTTGTTTTGTTTTATTATATTCAGTATGGCTAACACTCTCATGACTGGCAGGTATCCCTATATTTATAACCGGGATGGCACAGAACTTCATTGCTTAAAGGTTAGCATATTGCATTAAATAGATCGTGTTGCACTTATGCTGTTGTGGGTATCATCTTTTGGGTTAAGTGTATTGGCAGACCAGTTACCACACACAACTAGCAGAATGTAATCTGCTTATGTGTCAATTGCTTCCTGTTAATGAGAAGCGTCTACATTAAATACTGCTATCCAGGTAAACCATAAACACTTAGGCTCGTTTGGAAGTGTTTTTAAAATGATTGAAAGCAGTTTTGGTGAAAATGCTTCCTAGAAAAGCACTTGAAGTATTGGTCCTTCTTCTAGGAAGCACTTCAAGTGCTTTTGGAACCCAAAAACATTTTCTCTAAAAGTGCTTTCAATGAATTTTGCACTTCCAAATGAGCCCTTAAGCAGGTCAAACATGCTTAAGCAGTACCAAATGGCACATCCATAATTTGGGCCGAATTTTATGACATTTATCTGGACTTAATGTGTGCGCATCCTCTAGGATTTCAATCTCTGTGAATCCTTGTTGGTCGTTTCTCGTATACGTTCAGCTCATTCCTTTTGTTTGCTCTAAATCTTCACACGTGAAAGAGTTCCTTGTGCTGACTAAATCGAGATGCATAAACATGGAACTAAGGTTATCTGCATTTCTTATCATGTAGGAACATGGTGCAGTTTTAAGGCTTCAATTCTTGAAAAACCACTTCCTTTTGGCATCAATAAACAATTTTGGGCAGCTTCATTATCAGGATGTGACAATGGGTGAGATGGTAGGTAGTTACAGGACAGGCATAGGCCGTACTGATGCGATGCAGGTGAACCCCTATAATGGGGTTGTTGCTTTGGGTCAATCACTTGGTACAGTTTCCATGTGGAAGCCTACAAGCTCTGCGCCTCTACTTAGACTTCTATGTCACAAGGGACCCGTCTCAGCAATCGCATTCCACCCTAATGGCCATCTCATGGCGACAGCTGGGAAAGAGAGGAAAATTAAGCTTTGGGACTTGAGGAAACTTGGGGATGAACCGCTCCAAACCTTACCGGGCAATGCAAAGACGTTGGATTTTAGTCAGAAGGGTCTTTTAGCTTGTCAGCTGGGAAATGGATCATCTGTACAAATCTTGAGAGATTTGGATGGGAATCAGACGTACAAGACATACATGAATCATGGAATGGTTAAAGGTTTCCAAATAGAAAAGCTGTTGTTTCGACCTTATGAAGATGTTTTAGGCATAGGGCACTGTATGGGATGGTCCAGTATTCTGATTCCTGGTGCGGGGGAACCCAATTTTGATACCTTGGTGGCAAATCCATTTGAAACGTCTAAACAAAGAAGAGAGAGTGAAGTGCACTCTTTACTTGATAAGCTCCCGGCTGAGACGATTATGCTGGATCCTGCAAAGATCGGCACATTGAAGCCTGAGAGGAAGAAAGAGAAACCAACAAAGCAAGAAAAAGTGGCCGGGATTGAAGCTGCTGTTGAAGTTGTGAAGGGCATTAAACTGAAGAAGAAAACAAAGGGGAGGAGTAAGCCGAGTAAGAGGACGATAAAGAAAAAGGAGTTAATTGCAAAAGCAAAGAGTCCTTTCTTAGCGCAAGAAATGAAAGAGGAAGAACAAGTAGCTAGAAAGAAGCAGAAAACGATTGAATATGTGGAGCCACCAACATCGTTGCTGCGGTTTGTCCGCAAGAAAGCAACTGCATGATTGTGCTAATTTAATTATAGATTTTTAAGCTCTTGTATTGAACTCTGGAACTGTGAGCACTATATTGGATCGGGACGGATTCAGGATTTTAAGCCATTTTTTTCTTTCATCCGAAGCTTGAAGCTATTAACCATCTTGGATTCTTACAAATGATTGAGCAAAGAAGAGAGAAGTGCAAGAAAGCTTTAGAGAGAGAAGCAAGAAATATGAAGTTTCAGAATTCTCATTAACCGCCACAGTTATTACACTCAAGCTTATATAGAGCTTCCTAATACTTAGCTTATCAAGTATGCTACCGTACAACCAATACAGTCAATATAAGTGGACTAATACACTGTTGACACATGTCCAAGTTTGTTATTTCAATCCTGTTATTACCACACCACCCCCCCCTCTTTTCTCTCTCAATCTTAACCGGGTACCAAGTTTAAGATTGCTGCAATGTTGAACAAACACAGGACCATGAAGACCCTTAGTAAAAATGTCAGCAACTTGCCCCTTGTTTGGAATGTATTGAACCATAAGATCTCCTTTTTGAACCTTCTCACGAACAAAATGGAAATCGGTGTCAAGGTGTTTGATGCGAGAATGAAATACAGGATTTGTACTGAGTGCAATAGTAGAGAGATTATCAGTGTAAAACTGGTGGTGAGGGAAGATAAACATGTAAGTCTAGCGAGATTGATCGAAGCCAACATGCATCTGCAGCACAATGAGTAAGGAATTTGTATTCTGCCTCGGTAGATCTCCGAGATACTGAAGATTGCTTTTTGGATTGCCATGAAATTGGATTATCACCAAAGAACACCACATAACCAGTAATGGATCTCCATGTGTTGATATGAGCAACCCACTTCAAGTAAGATTAAATTAATGCTAGCAAGTTTTCCAGCACGCACATAAAAGACTATGCTCGAGTAGAAACATTGCTGCATCCAACAGATGATAATTGCTATGGACTGTACAAAGTACAAACCTTTGAGGATGACCTCGATTGACTCTTCATTGAAGCTACTATTCATCAACGGATATTTGTTCATGGCCACTGAGAGAGTCTTTATCTATAATGGAAGGAAAGTGTGCTTGACATTTGAATCGGTATTATTACTTTGGAAAGAATTTTTCAGCTCCACAAGTGCATCACACTTTATATCCTCAACATAATGAAAATGTAGAACTTTTGCAGCCATGCTCATTGATTGAACCGTTCTTCGCTGAAATCCCCTGAAAGAACAGACTACAGTTAACTCGCTGCATACATCACTCTGTCTTGAATAAAACCACTAAAAACAAATATTATCTATGATATTCTAGCACTGCACAAACATTAACAGCTACAACTCATTAACCAATATTATCTGACATAAGTTCAGCCATGGATCATACCAATGATTCATTAATGAATAAAGGAGGCGTTCCAAGTTCATGTTTGCATGCTATATTACCTCAGGGTAACTGTCTTATCGTCATAATTCCATCACGATTCAGCTTAAGTATGTGCGTAACTATCTTCTCCTCCCAAAGCTTTCTCGGGACTAGCACTCAAGGAGACAGAAGGAACTTCAATGATTCCCTTCTGGGCAGCATATTTGATGACATCTTCTTTTAACACTCTCCCACCTTTACCAGTTCCACAGACTTCATTCATGTCTATATCAAATTGCCTTGCAAGGTTCCGAACAGGAGGTGTCAATAAAACTCCACCTATGTTATGTGTGTTCAGCTCAGAATCTAGCAACTTAGTGTCTTCCAAACTCTCACAAATCTGCTTTGGAACCTGAGATTCCTCAACGGCCATCTTTAAAAGAATTTCTCCAACCGAAGATTTCATTTAAACTCTAAAGCATAAATAAGAGTTTCAAATTAGGATTCAAAGAAACATGAGCTAATCCACCAAAGAGAAATGCTTTGTCGCTAAATTTCTGGAACAAGTTCAATTTCTAAAAGAACAATTGTTTTCACTATAACGCTGCGGACCTCTCTCCACTATTCCTAAAACTCTAGGATGTAAGGTGTAAAAATATTCTGACCTTGATGATGTCACCTGGAACATAGAGAAGCTGAGAAACTTTCCCCAGATAACGGCTTGTTATTTCGATGGTTGCTTTGTCACTTTGCACTTCACAAAGTGGCTGAAATTTGTCAACTTGATCCCCCTGCTAAAATCACAAATTAAACCTCTAATTCCTTACTCTCTTCAAAACAACCTCAGATACTCATACTAATTGACGCTCCAATTGTACGGAAAACTAGTAAGTCAGTTTCTTTCAACGAGACCGCCCAATGTGCAGGCCTGCCAAAACTTCCCACACAAATCTAACAAACCTTGCGCAAGTACGTGGATCAACAATATAAACAGATACAAATGTATGTGTGTATATATTGCATAGGATATGATAATGCAAAAACGTATAGGAGGAATTACAGACCTCCCGCACAAACCATTTGAGGAGCTTGCATTCGGCAATGCCTTCACCGGTTTGAGCCAATGGTACATCAACTATACCATTACCATTACCCCCTGCTGCAACATCAGCCATTGCCTCACTTGAAAACCACCTCCCATTCACATTATTCGTAATTCTACACTACAAAATGTTGGAAATTCAAATCAAAACAGGTTGTAAAATGTTGCTGCTAGCTATTGTTGAAAATCAATGTCAAAGTTAGGCATGAAAAGTTAGGCAATGTTAGGTATGGTTGAATAAAAATTATTAGGTGCAATTAATGTGTTTTATGTGGTAATAAATAATCTTAGTTTAATCATTTGGTTTGCTATAAATACCCAAGTTCTCAAGCATTGTAAATCATCCCATCCGAATCCCACTTCCAATTGTGAAGAAGCTTGTAAGCTTTCTTATTCCAACAGTTTGTAAACCTTTTTCATATATCAAAGTCCAAGTGTTTTGCCAAAGCTTGTTGCTTCCCTCCTTTCTCTATTTCTTTCTTTGTCCAATTTTATTTGAGAGTGCAAAGTGAAAGAGGTGTGATAGAGTTTGTAAACTTATCACCCACATATTTTGGTATTGAGTTAGTAAACTGTAAAATACCAACAATTGGTATCAGAGCCAGAATACCATTCTGGCAGGAGCAGCAGTTATGGCGTCCAACTTAGTGCAACTCCAAGTTCCCACATTAAAGAAAGAAAATTATGAAAGATGGTGCATCCAATTCAAAGCATTGTTTGGATCACAGGAGCTATGGGAAGTTGTCAGTAGTGGGTATGTTGTACCCACTGCCGAGCAAGAAGCCGTATATACTGCGGATCAAAGGAACACTCTCAAGGACTTACGAAAGAAGGACCAAAAGGCGCTGTATCTTCTATACCAGGGTTTGGAAGATTCAACGTTCGAGAAGGTTGCAGAAGCAACAACGAGCAAGCAAGTATGGGATACACTCAGTACAATCTACAAAGGAGTAGATCGAGTCAAGAAAGTGAGGTTACAATCACTTCGAGCAGATTTTGAAACTGCTCATATGAATGAAGGGGAGAGCATCTCCGACTATCACTCAAGGCTCATTGTGATAGTAAATCAGATGAGGAGAAATGGCGAGAGACTCGATGAAGTACGAGTTGTGGAGAAGATACTCCGGTCACTCACATCTAAGTTTGAGCATGTGGTGACTGCCATTGAGGAATCCAAGGATTTGGAGGTGATGAGCGCAGAAGAGCTACTAGGATCCCTCCTAGTTCACGAGCAACGCATTCAGAAGAATGCAAGCCCCACAACGCTAGAGCAAGCTTTGGAGTCAAAGTTGAATATTGACAAACCAAATAAAGGTCGTGGGCAGTGGAACTCACGTCGTGGGAGCTCATCCAACCGTAGCCGAGGACGAGCCCGAGGAAGAGGTCGAGGCTATGCACAAAATCAAGGTCAGTCTCAGGAGTGGAGATCTACTCGAGGAAAGGCGCATATCCAGTGTCACAACTGTAAGCAATATGGACATTATGCCAATGAATGTTCACATAAAAATGGTGAGCATGTCAACATGGCAGAATCAAGTGGAAATACTGATGAAGAACTTACAGTCTTACTAGCACACCATGATTCCAGTAGCCAACAAGATGTTTGGTATTTGGACTCTGGTGCAAGCAATCACATGTGTGGAAAGAATGAGTTTTTTGCCGAACTCAAAAAAAGGGCCTATGGATCTGTAAGTCTTGGTGACTCCTCAAAGTTGCCAGTTGAAGGAAAAGGGAAGATCAAGATCATCCAGAAGGATGGAAGAGAAGAATACATCTCCGATACCTACTGCATACCAGGTATGAAAAGCAACATTCTGAGCATTGGTCAACTGCTCCATAAAGGGTACATTATACATATGGAGAACATGCTTCTCACTCTCAGGAATGCAAGGAGAAAGCTTATTGCACGTGTTCGAATGTCAAAGAACCCGTTGAATTTGAACACAAAGATTGGAAGCTGCAACATCGGTGTAATGGAAGATGAGTCATGGAAATGGCATCTTCGATTTGGCCATCTTAATTTCAATGGCCTAAAGTTGCTGTCAAGTGGAGGAATGGTTCGTGGTCTACCCCAGATTGAAGCCACACGCCAAGTATGTGAAGGTTGTGTGCTTGGCAAGCAAGCACGACTATCGTTCCCTGTTGGTGATACATGGAGAGCAAAGGCACCACTGCAGTTGGTGCACACAGATATATGTGGTCCATTGGATCCCATGTCTTATGGAGGTAATAGGTATTTTATTACCTTCATTGATGATTTCAGTAGAAAGACTTGGGTCTATTTTCTCAAGGAGAAGTCAGCTGCCCTAAAAATTTTCAAGGAGTTCAAGGCACTCATAGAGGCAGAAAGTAACCACAAGCTTGTGGCTGTGAGATCAGATAGAGGTGGAGAGTACACCTCCAATGCTTTCCAAGCATACTGCAAGGAGCAAGGAATTAGGCATCAACTTACTGCTGCCTATACCCCACAGCAAAATGGGATAGCCGAAAGAAAGAATCGAACCATCCTTGACATGACAAGGTCCATGCTTAAGGAGAAGAATTTGCCAAAAGAGTTATGGGCAGAAGCTGTAGCTTGTTCGATTTATTTGTTGAATCGATGTCCAACAAAGAGTGTCAAGAGGATGACACCACAAGAGGCT